TGGTCCGGGCGGGGGGGCCTGCGGGCGCCTACGGCTTCCAGAAGGCTGTGCGGCACAGGCGAGCCAAGCCGGGCTGACCCAGTGCCTGGGGGCGGTATTTCTCCGGGCTCTTGAAAGGCAAGGAAGTGAGGCCCAGAGAGTACGAGGGAGGAAATACGTTTATTCCTGTCCTCGAGGCAGGATGAATGTGGAAATGCTGGTGCGAATGTGTGTTTAAGTACAGCGAGGACTCTTGATTATCCAGTATCCTTGCCTTTTGAGGACGCTTTCTCAAGAAGGACGAGTGGGTCTCTCTCAGCCCCTGGCTCCTCTGCTGCCTCGACCTCGGGTTTCGGGTTTCGGTGCAGGAGCCACCAGGTCAAGAACCACGCCTCACACAACCAGCCCCGAAAATGGCACAGAAATGGCATCAAGAAATTCCATCACAAAGAAGCTTTCAAGTGGGTAGACCACCCCCCCCCCTCAAGGAAGAGAAGAACATGCGTTTTGCCAACAGAAAGTGTCTGAAAAAGATGGCAGGCCAACAACGCCAAGGCCATGAGTGCTCGAGCACAAGGCCCTCGCAAAGCCGAAGGGGAGTAGCCGCAAGCTCAGTTGACTTGCCTACATTGCCCACCCTAAGTTCGGGAAATGTGCTTGGCCCATATCGCCATGGGCTATCAAGACCAAGACTCAAACCAAGGCCCAGACCTCAGCTACAGCTCCATCGTCAGATCCCAATCCAGCTCAGGCTGTCAAAGGTGTCCAGGCCCCCACAATAGCTCCAGAGTAAAGGCCTCTGCCAGTATAAGGACAGAAGGACTGGTGACCCCTGGGCTGCTCTCTGCGTGGGGCTGGTGTCCTCCGGTGCTGTTTGTGCAAATAAACCTGAGTCGGGGAAAGTTTTTTTTTTTTTTGGAGAAGTTTTTGCTATAGGGCGCTGTGCGCTCGCCAGACAGAGAGACAGAAAGCGAGAAATCACCCCCCCCCAGGGGGGATGGCCACGCCAATCCCTTCTCCTCCATTCTCCTCTCGGGCTCTTGGGCACGCACGCACACACACCCGGTGTGAGTTTAAGCCACGGGGTCCAGGACACGAACTGTAGTCAACTACGTGGGAGTCCAGTGACACAGCCATTATGCTAACTGCTGGTCCCCCGGAAATTTTTTTTAAAAAGACAAATGGGAAAGGCTTAAAGAATAGCTTATGGAGGCCAGCAGGTGGCATGATGGTTGAGATACTAGACTCCAACAGTTCGGACCATGGTTGGAGTCCAGAGATGGTGGCTTGAGAATCACAGGGCGTGTGTGTATATGCCCAAAATCAGAGTAGAATGGAGGAAAGGGGATTGTAGTGTGTTTATACCCACTGAGAGGTGAATTCTCACTTTCCCTCTTAGCTGACCCCTCTCTGTCTCTGGTGGGTGCAGGGCCCCTATAGCAAAAGAAAAAAAAAAAAAGAACAGCTTATGGACAGACACCTCAGCTGGGTGGGTGGAAAAGATCTACACACAGGTACTAGAACATATGGGACACTATTTTGCAAAAATGCAACACCTGCCCAAGTTATAACATGCAAGTTCGTCAAGGTTTTTATTTAAAATATATTCAGAAAAGAAATTTAGAGCATCGGAGTTTTAGAGAAGAGATGGGCCTTTATTTTTTATTATCCTGTGTTAATCTTTATTTGCTTGGCCTGAATCCTGTCAAAGTTGAGATCTGATAACTTTCTTGCTTTTTGCTAAGTGTCCTTACTGTTCTATTCCTAAATATTGTTTCTTTTTTTTTTTTTTTTGGAGAGGCTTTTTTTGCTATAGGGTAGGCGCGCTCACCAAAAAGACAGAAAGAGACAGAGAGACAGAAAGCGAGAAATCACCCCCCCAGAGGGGATGGCCATGCCGCAATCCCTTCTCCTCCATTCTCCTCTCGGGATCTTGAGCATGCACACACACGTGCCTGGCGTGAGTTTAAGCCGCCGGGTCCCGGACCCAAACCACGGTCAACTACAGGGGAGTCTAGCGACATAGCCGTTATGCTAACTGCTGGTCCCAATATTGTTTCTTTTTAAACAGAGCATTGGGGACCAGCAGATGGTATAATGGCTGTGCCACTGGACTCCCACATAGTTGACTGCAGTTCGAGTCCCAGACCCAGTGGTTTAAACTCACACCAGGCACGTGTGTGTGCATGTCCAGGATCCAGAGAGGAGAATGGAGGAGAAGGGATTGTGGCGTGGTCATCCCCCCTGGGCGGTGATTTTTTGCTTTCTGTCTCTCTGTGTCACTGTCTTTCTGGTGAACACATGTGCCCTATAGCAGAAACCTCTCAAAAAAATAAAAAAATAAACAGCTGGTAATTTTCTACTCCAAACTTCCAGAGGTTTCCTATCTCAAATTTTTAAAAAATTGATATACAAACAAATATTTAAAGTAGGTGAGGAGAAACCCCCTTCCCCTACTCTCTTTTTCTCTATAGCATATTTACTTCTATCTTGCTACATACTTAGCTCATTTACTATCTTTTTTTCTCTTGCTAGATTACCAGCTTCTAGAGGATAAAGATCCTTTACTTTAAATCCTCAGTGAAGCCCTGGCCTCTAGAAGGCAACAAACAAGATTGTCTCCATCCCCTCCGAGTTTACAGCCTCGCACAAGAAGTAGGTGGACCCTATTGTATCAATAAATAAAAGGGTAAGGTGCTATGACTGGTTGGATTATGGAGCACATAATAGGAGCACGTTTTCTATTCTGAGGGGTCAGAAAGCTCAAGCAAAACTTCACAGAAGCTACTCAACTTTATCTTCATGAGGGCAAGAACCACCTGTAGTAGTGGAAGTTGTATGCTTCACAGCCCCAGTGGGCCCTTTACCTGCACAACCATATAGTATCCCTGGGGAATATGCTTGGTTTCAAGTTCAGCAG